CTCTATTTCTTACGAGGGATGTACACGTGCTGGTAGAACAGCCTGGTGTACGTGTGAAATTGAAATTTAGCTGCACACGCTTGTTGATTACCTGGCTGTTCCACCAGCAGGTGGTCCCCCCTCGTAACAAATACCTCATGTGTCTCTGCAAATGCGACGAGTGTAAATTCTTTCTCACTTTCGCCACACTGAAAAAGTTTCACACTACCATGACCTTTCTAATATGACTACTGCTTTCTACTGTGTGTCAACATGTGTCTCGTCAGGTTACTTGATTGTGTGAATTGTTTTCCACATTCAGTGCACTCATAAGGCTTGATTCCACTGTGAATCCTTGAATGAACGAGCAGGTTACTTGAATATCACAATGGAGTTATAAGGTCATCTTTGTCTGTAAGAGTGGTTCTTGACTTCTGTTTCTGGTGACATTGCTCCCGTGTTGCCTCTGAGAAACACCACGCGACTCTCGGTTTCAGTTGTGAGCAAGTCGGTTACAAATGCATGAAGTACTCATTTTACACAAATCGTTGTCCACATATCTTGTAACCTGTTATGAACAGGGTTTCGATGATCATACCCAGATCTCTTGACTAACACTGCCCTGAACTGGTATAAAGGTAGGTGAATCTTGTGCTGCATGATACTGTGGATTCTCTGGAATGTCTCACTAACCGATTTGTTTAAAGTGTTTTAGTGAGTGAGTGAGTTTAATTTTACGCCGCACTCAGCAATATGGCGGCAGTCTGTAAATAATCGAGTCTAGACCAGTGATCAAAAGTGAGAGCATCGATCTTGGCATATGGGATATAATGATCTTTGTCAACCAATTCAGCGAACGTGACCACCCGATCCCGTTAGTCGCCTCTTACAACAAGCATGGCTTACTAAAGATCAATTCTAACCTGGATCTTCACGGGTTGAAAGTGTTTTAAATCACAGATAGAGAATAATAATGTGATTGTGCATTCTGTATCCCTAACATTTAACTCTATGTAGGAGACAGCGAGGAGGTAAGGTTTACGTGAATACCCCCAACAATCCATTCGTCTATCTATGAGGGTACAGCACCAGCCTTTTACCAATATATGGTCTGTGGGTGGAGAGACAACTCAATAATGTGAGTGTCGGATTTAACCACCATTTGCGTTGATACAGGCGAGGTAGCGGCACAGCACTGAAGACATCAGGTAATGGAAAACAACCGAGGTATGTTGTTCCAAGTGTCAACGTATATTTGGTTCTAGTCTTTGATTCATTGATTTCAGATTTTGATTGGGTGGTGGGTTAGACTAATGGTTTAAGCGTCCGCTGGTCAGGCTAAAGACCCAGGTTCAATTCCCCATATGGGTACAATGTGTGAAGGCAATTTCTGGTGTCCCAAGTCGTGATATTGCTGGGGTATTGCTAAAAGCGACGTAAAACCATACTGATCATCATCAGATTTTGAGACATGTTATGACATGACATTATATTGCCACTGTAATCTGATGGGATAAGCTGTTGACCTTTCTTGGTATCTGGCAATCTTCCATCCTGCACTTGATGGCAAGACTATTACTTTCTACTGGAAACAGGTAGTGGTTGCAAATCATTGACCGCAAACTACAGATATTTCCTGGATCCGAGATGAATTGGTAAATGAGTATGGGTCCTTGATGTCTATGCTGATCCAGTTATCACTCTTGGGTGAAATCGACATACTGACCTCACTCACTGTAAATGTCGCCTTCAAAATTGAAACAATCAATTCATTTGTTTAACATTTATTTTCAGAAATAACATAGATCTGTTAACAAGGAAAGAACTACTAATATTAATACAACTTGAATAAAAGAATGACGAGCTTTGCTACAGAATGTAATTTGCAAAATAGTATTAAACGCCAGCAGACAAAGACTGATATATTTAGTTTTCAACTTCGATCTTCAATGGAACTGTATCTACTTTCACGTCGGTCATTTTGTATCCATGAGTGGATTTGTGCTGATGTATATCTGGCTTCCTGTTTAACGCTCGAGAGTAAACGAAATAATTTGACTTGTTGTCGCTTTGTGTTTTCCTTAAAGGAATAAATGAGGATGTAAATATATACGATGAAGAGGGATTTGACTGGGGCTTTTTGGTGATCTGTAGTATACACATAAACAGCTTGTTAACATAAACATCATAAGAATAGAACGTTATTGTTTGTTAAGATCTTGAATAAATGGTATCGATGCAGTTTATGGGTTATTGTCCTGAATACACTGGGTGCAGTCTACTTAGAACCATCGATTGCACAAGCTAATTTGAGCTGAGTGAGTGAGTGAGTATGTTTTTACACCGCTTTTAGCAATATTCCAGGCGGGGTACACCAGAAATCGGCCTCACACATTGTACCCATGTGGGGGTTCGAACATGTGTCTTTGTCGTGACGAGCGAATGCTTTTAAACCACAAGGCTACTCCATTGCCCCTAATCTGAGCTGAAACCAGAGGAGCCTTGTCAACAGGAAATCACTATCTTAAGTTCACCACATATTTCTCCAGAAGTTTTAACATGAAACAGATACTTCAGTTTCTCTGGTTCCTTCTTGTCAGTCCAGGTGGGTAACCTCTTGGCTAAATTCTTCTGTTTTGATTTTTTGGCCAATTTGAGAAGAAATTCTGTTTCATTTACACACAGAAATGGAGCAGCAAGAATGAAACAAGCAAGGCAAGGAAAATGTTTTCCCACATTCCTGACAAATATGCTCTTAGTACAAAATCTAAGAACTCAACAATTTCGTCTGATGTTTGGCTGACATATTTTAAACATCTATTAAATCCGGAACTTACTGATACATGTGAATTTGTAGAGACTGTTTCAAATTTCATAGAGACTCATACCTGTGACAACTGTATAAACTTTCCCTTTACCGACCAACTATTATCTGTTGTAACAGATAAGGATATATTTGATGCCATAGCAAATCTCAAACAAGGAAAAAGTCCAGGTGAAGATGGAATTCCTAATGGTTTTTTTGAAATGTCACAACCATATTTTACCCCATATCTCAACATATTCTTTAATAACATTTTTTATTTAGGCATATTTCCTGAAAACTTTAACATTGGAATGATTATACCGTTATTTAAATCTTGAAATGCAACAGACACCTGTAATTATAAAGGTATATCGCTTCTCAAGGTAACTGGAAAACTGTTCACTACCATTCTGGAGAAGAGACTACGCATCTGGATGGAAGTAAATCAACTTATATCTGAAGCACAGGCTGGCTTCAGACAAGATCATTCGACTATGGACAACATCTTTACCTTACAAGTTGTAGCCACAAAGTACTAAAGTATACCCAAGGGTCTATTTTACGCTTCATTCATCGACTTTAAAAAGTCTTTTGACTATGTTGATCGTAAAAAATTGTTATACTTATTATTGCAAAGAGGTTGTCATGGGAAAATGTATCATATACTCAAAAGTATGTTCTGTTAAAGCGTGTGAGAAACTTAATTCTTGTGAAACCGATTTGTTCCAAACAGCCAATGGTGTTAGACAGGGCTGTATGTTAAGCCCGATACTATTTATATTTTTTATAAATGAACTTGCAACTGAAATTTATGAAAATTGTCAACATGGTGTTTTTATATCACAAGATATTGAAGATTTGATGTTGTTATTATTCGCCGACGATATAGTATTATTTGCTAATAATTTTGTAAATTTACAGAGGCAGCTTAATGTTTTAGAAACGTTTTGCTCTAAATGGGGTTTTCAATAAATCTACAGAAATCTGATGTTGTAGTCTTTAGGAATGGAGGTGTTTTAAATTGTTTTGAGAAATGGTACTATTGTGGCAAACTCCTTAAAACTGTCTCCTACTATAAGTACTTGGGTATAATATTTTCCTCTATACTTATTTGGACGAAAGCATGTGGAAGTCTAGCTGCACAAGCAACGAAAGCTTGTATTCCTGTGTATAAACTATTCAATAGAAATAATGTTTTCATGTTTTTTCATATATATGGAATTAACAAAGTGTTGGTGATGCTAGAATTTTTATGCATCAGTTTAATGAAAGATTACAAGATGTCAGTGCACAAGACTGGCTTTCTATAGTGTCGTCATCAAAATACTTAGAGCATTACTCAAATGTGAAATCTTTACTTAACGTTGAACAAAATATTACATTTTTAGAAGATAAATCTTTAAGACATGCTTTTGTAAATTGAGAATAAATTTGCACAACTTCAAAGTTAATATGTTTCGAAAGAAAAAAGTGGATTTTCAAAATAGTATTTGTAACTACTGCAGTAAGGGTGTCATGGAGACCGAAGATCATGTTTTCTTTGTATGTGAATATTATAATGACTTACGTTTGCATTATATCACACAACTCACAAATGTATTCCATGGCTTAACTTTGCCAAATATACTCAATTGCAAAAATGAAACTGTTATTAAAATCACTTCTATGTATGTACAAAAAGTGTTTATGTCAAGAAAACCGTGACTAAAATGTTATTCTTAATTTCATTGTAACATGGGCCACATGGCCTACATTACCGAATAAAGTCTCTCTGTCTGTCTGACACATGTGGTTTGACTCCATTCTGTATTTTCGGATGGGCCTGTAGCACACACGAGTGTTAATGTGTCCTCACACTCACTAACCTGATCAGGTAGGATTCTACTTTGACTCCTAATGTCAGTTTACTTGATTGTGTAAACTCTTTCCCACATTCAGCATACTGATATGGCTTGATTCCACAGTGGCACCTCATGTGTCTCTGCAAATTCGACGAGAGTGTAAATTGTTTCTCACCTTCGCCGCTCAGAAGGGGCTTCACTCCACTGTGACCTTTCTACTATGACTACTATTTCCTGCTGTGAGTCAACATATGTCTCGTCAGGGTATATGATTTTGTGAACTGTTTCCCACATTCAGTACACTCATAAGGCTTGATTCCACTGTGAATCCTTGAATGAATGAGAAGGTCAGTTGAACTTGTAAACGTTTTCTCTCACCACACTGATAAGGCTTGATTCCACTGTGTGTAAACATGTGTCTCGTCAGGTTATTTGATTTTGTGAATCGTTTTCCACATTCAGTGCACTCATAAGGCTTGATTCCACTGTGAATCCGTGAATGAATGTGCAGGTCAGTTGAATTTGCAAACGTTTTTTTCACACTCACCACACGGATAAGGCTTGATTCCACTGTGTGTAAACATGTGTCTCGTCAGGCTACTTGACTGAGAGAATTGTTTCCCACATTCAGTGCACTCATAAGGCTTGATTCCACTGTGAAGCCTTGAATGAACGAGCAGGTTGCTTGAGCATGTAAACGTTTTCTCACACTCGCCACATTGATAAGGCTTGATTCCACTGTGTGTCAACATGTGTCTCGTCCGGGTACCTGACTGAGAGAATTGTTTCCCACATTCTGTACACTCATAAGGCTTGATTCCACTGTGAGTCCTTGAATGAACGAGCAGGTCAGCTGAATTTGTAAATGTTTTCCCACACGTATCACACTGACAAGGCTTGATTCCACTGTGAATCCTTGAATGAACGATCAGCTTACTTGAGCATGTAAACGTTTTCTCACACTCACCACACTTATAAGGCTTGATTCCACTGTGTGTAAACATGTGTCTCGTCAGGGTACTTGACTGAGAGAATTGTTTCCTACATTCAGCGCACTCATAAGACTTGATTCCACTGTGAAGCCTTGAATGAAGATGCAGGGCAGTTGAACTTGTAAACGATTTCTCACACTCTCCACACTGATAAGGCTTGATTCCACTGTGAATCCTTGAATGCATGATCAGGCTACTTGAAAATGTAAACATTTTTCCACACTCACCACACTGATAAGGCTTGATTCCCGTATGTGTCAACATGTGTTTCTTCTGGGAACTTGACCGAGAGAATTGTTTCCCACATTCGGCGCACTCATAAGGCTTGATTCCACTGTGAATCCTTGAATGAATGTGCAGGGCAGTTGAATTTGTAAACGATTTCTCACACTCTTCACACTGATAAGGCTTGATTGCACTGTGAATCTTTGAATGATTATGCAGGGCAGTTGAATTTATAAACGATTTCTCACATTCTCCACACTGATAAGGCTTGATTCCACTGTGAACCTTCAAATGTGCCCGCAGATCACTTCGTAGTTTATACCTTTTATCACACACACTGCACTCATAAGGCTTGACTGTACTGTGACTGGTCATGTGTTTTTTTAGGTGACTAGTTTGTCTAAATTCTTTTCCACATTCCGTACACTTATAAGGTTTCACTCCAGTGTGAATCCTCAAATGACTGTCCAGGTGACATAAACGTTGAAACACTTTCCCACATTCACCACACTTATGACGATCCCTTGATGGAACCTCACAGCCTTTGCTTTTCTCAGCATCATCTGTTACCAGCAAGAGTGTTCTCTCACAGTCAATGTTTCCACCTACATCAGTAACAGAATGTTTCTTGAGACCACCTGAGTCAGTAACAGGTTCTTGTTTCAGGTCCCCTATGTCTAGCAATTCTCTCTCACCTGTGTTTGCACCTGTATCAGTAACAGGTTCTTTTTTGACATCACTTGTTTCTAGCAATGCTCTCTCACAGTCTCTAACGTGTGTTTCAGTAACAGAGCCATGATTCTGTTGTTGAACTTGCACGTCCATCATCAGATTGTGGATGTTATGCTCTTCACTGAAAACATAGGAGTCACCATTTTCTTTATCATGTTCATGAAGTGAGTGAGTGAGTGACTTTAATTTTACGCTACTTCTAGCAATATTCCAGCAATATCATGGCAGGGGACACCAGAAATGGGCTTTACACATTGTACCCATGTGGGGAATCGAAACCCGGGTCTTTGGAATGACAAGCGAATGCTTTAACCACTTGGCTACCCCTACGCCCATCCAATAAAGGATCGATTTGCTTAAAGGCTTGGTACTACCCAGATTCTTACCAAGATCTTGAAGGGTGTGCACCTTTTGTTCCCATGCTAGTTCAGGTGATCAATGGACTTGGCTTTGCATACGTTTGTGAGATGGCAGCCATCAGTGGAAAAAGATATACTTTGACAAAAACTTGTTGTCATCACTATATCATAGTGATTCATAAACAAAATATGCTCATGATATAGTCTACTTTGGTTTTTGGAAATTGAATAAGTCACACTGTCATCATCATTACTTACACGAAAAAAAGGAGCTTTCCTTGATTGTAACACTGAGGTTTTATAAAAATAGGAGCAATAATGGCTTTAAGTTGATTTATGATACACTGTGATCTGAGGGAATCATATCAGTACACATTAAACTTAATCATTTGCATCACAATCGTTACAGGGTGATGTTTGACGGGAGAATATACAGAAGTAAGACATAAAACTACAAGAATTCAAAGTATGAACTATAGCCTCGGAGAAAGTCTGCTCAGATTGTCTTCTTGCAAAGTTTGGGACCAAACTGGAATGGGTGGTTCACTTCAGGCACCCTACTCTACTTGTGAAAATACACGAAGCAAAACATAAAACAGGTTAATGTTACTGTAACAGATATATAACTAAGACATTGTGTAAACATTATTTGGGGCAGTGGGTGAGTTTCACTCCGCTTTTAACAATATTCCAGCAATGTTATGACAGAAATGGGCTTCACACATTGTTCCCATGTGGGGAAGAGAACCCTGGCATTCAGACACACTGATTGAGTTTAGTTTTACGTCGCTTTTAGCAATATTCCAGCAATATCACGGCGGGGACACCAGAAATGGGCTTAACACATTGTGCCCATGTGGGGAATCGAACCCGGGTCTTCGGCGTGACGAGCCAACGCTTTAACCACTAGGCTACCCCACCGTCCCCCTGGCATTCAGCGTGACGGGCAAACGCTTTAACCACGAGTCATCTTCAAGTAAATCACGTATGTGCCACAATCTGTTCATATATAGACTTCTTTATACACTTAGCCTACGTTTGTAATTTTTTCTATCATTAATGTACAGCAAACACAATCAAATTTGCACAAGCAAAACTTCCTTCATAGAGAATACAGGCACGTGCGTGTATGCAAGCACACACACGCACGCACACACACTGTGCTACAATTTGACTTCTCATGTCACATTTGAAATAGTTTGAACATAAATTAAGCTTATGTTTTAATTGTCAACAACAAAAGTAGAAAGGCAAGAGAGCCTTCCAAATGGCCACTCCCCAAACTGTGTCATCCAATAAAAACCCAGCAAAATAACAGAATGCTCAGTTATGGTTACTGTTATTTCCTTAGCAAGTATAAGTTGCAAATGAAATATTGCAATAGTGGAATATATATTCCTGGGAAATGATAGCTTCAGATACAATTTTTCCAATCATTGAACCCAAGTTTTCTAACTCATCTCAATGGGTATTCCTCAACTGAATTGCATTTAGATCTTGCTATAGAAGGCTCCGTTTATGAGAAAATACACACAGTAATCTTAATCTCTACAAATAAAAAAAAAAAACACCCAACAGAAGAGGAAATACAACATGTACGGTAATCATCATATCCAGTGATGTTTTGATTGCCAAGTTTACATCTTCATGACCATGTTTGTTATCTCCAGCTTGTTCCCCTGAAACAATACAAGGCAGATTTCTCCTGCTCGTAATAACCAAGGCTTCATTCCACTTTATCGCACCAACACAAACACAGTTAAAACCATTGTCTATAAGTGTGGTTCTCGACTTCTGTTTCCGGTGACATTGCTTCCGTGTTGCCTCTGAGAAACACCACGTGATTCTCTGTTTCAGTTGTGAGCAATTCAGTTCTTGGAGAACAGGTGATATGTGGGTGAGCATTTGACACCGTGGGATGACCAACTCGTGTTATTCCGGGACAAGTCTAGCAGGTCACGGAAATTAGCGAGTGGTGACGAGAGCTTGGCATGAGAGTGACAGTTGCATTTTGTACATGTTGAATGTTCTGTAGTACACTAATGCAAGTCTAATTTTGAAGTTACAAATGCATGAAGTACTCATTTTACACAAATCGGTATCCACATATCTTGTCACCTGTTATTAACAAGGTTTCAACTGAATGTTGAATCAATGATCATACCCAGATCTCTTGACTAACACTGCCCTGAACTGGTATACTAGGTAGGTGAATCTTGTGCTGCATGATACTGTGGATTCTCTGGAATGTCTCATTAACCGATTTTGTTAAGAGTGTTTAAGTGAGTGAGTGAGTTTAGTTTAACGCCGCACTCAGCAATATGGCGGCGGTCTGTAAATAATCGAGTCTAGACCAGACAATCCAGTGATCAAAAGCGTGAGCCCTTGGTGTTCAGGGTCACCGTCACTATAGTTCAAGCCAGCTGATAAGTTAATTAATATCTTGTTCAGTTATTATTGTCTCTAGTTACAGAAGTAGGAGCTTAGTGCAACGCTTCTGAAAGATGCCGAGGTGTTGATGCGCTAAAAGGGATGGGTTCATATGTCCTGGGTTCATATGTTACGTAGATGCTGAATCAAATTGCTTAATGTCTTGAACAATTCATGTAGAATATAAAATGAATCACTAGATTGTATTATTCTCAGTATGGAGTTATGCACCTTCATGCCTACATAGTACAATCAACCTTAATCCCAGACTCAAAGCTGTATTTGCTCAACTTACTTGTTTGTGAGCAGTCAGACAAAGAAGTGAGTGGGCAGTTTTACGCACTCAGCAATATTCCAGCTATATGGTGGCGGTCTGTAAATAATCGAGTCTGGACCAGACAATCCAGTGATCAGCAGCATGAGCATCGATCTTCGCAATTGGGATACGATGACATGTGTCAACCAAGTCAGCGAGCCTGACCACCCGATCCCGTTAGTCGCCTCTTACAACAAGCATGGCTTACTGAAGATCAATTCTAACCCGGATCTTCACGGGTTGAAAGTGTTTTAAATAATAATGGAATGATTGTGCAGTCTGTATCCCTAACATTTAACTATGTAGGAAGGTAGGGGGGTTATCCTAATGGTTTAAGCGTCCGCTGGTCAGGCTGAAGACCCAGGTTCAATTCCCCATATGGGTACAATGTGTGAAGGCAATTTCTGGTGTCCCCAGTCGTGATATTGCTGGGATATTGCTAAAAGCGACGTAAAACCATACTCATCATCAGATTTTGAGACATGTGGCAAACAAGTCCCAATGAGGTGTGAGCTTATCCAGTGGAATACATCGAGCATGGCAAGTCTGTTCTATTGTCACTGTAATCCGACGGGATAAGCTGTTGACCTTTCTTGGTATCTGGCAATCTTCCATCCTGTACTTGATCGACTCTGCCAAGACTACTACTTTCTACTGGAAACACGTATTGGCTGCATATGATTGACCGCAAGTTACAAATATTTCCTGCATCCAGATGAATTCGTACTTATGAGTATGGGTCCTAGATGTCTTGGCTGATCCAAACATCACTCTTGAGTGAAAGCGACAAACTCAACTCACTCACTGTAAATGTCGTCTTCAAAATTGAAACAATAAGTTAACCTCGAAACGTATTCCCAAAAGAAAACAGTGTGATACCAACAAATTCTTGAAGAAATGTTTTACAATGAATAATGGGATTATCAAAATAACTCAGTTTACAAATCAATACAGCTGGCTAAGGCGCCAGGCTAGTGATCCAGCGAGGTTGAGGTTTCTGGATCGTGCCCACCTGTAACCGGGTGTAAAAACCTTGGAGTCAACTTTGAGTGCAGACTCTTTCAGTGTTGTCACAACCTTTAGTGTACAATACACAACCCTGTGCACTTAAAAGCACCCACGAATCCGTTGGTACATGACCAGATGGTGGCCACGTCCACCCAGCTGTGAATGGGTACCTCGTTAGGATGAAAAAGCCACAATAACTGGGTGCGCCTAGTGGCTGCAAGAGTTTTATACTCCAATGGGAGTTGAGATCGATAATACGATGTGTCAGTGAGATTGACATCCTATGAGCGATGGGAAACATACCAGCGCCTTGAGCATGCACTAGTTGCCTAGATATGTGCGCTATATAAATATCCCATAATAATACTAAGTTCCAAATCCATTCCAAGATTGACAGCTTCAGTCTAGTACTTCGCATAGTGACGTCGCTAGTTGAATCAACGTCCATCAAAACATCATCTGGAACTTAAGGCGACGTTTTCAGCAAAACCCATCGAAACATCATCTGGCACTATGGTGACATTTCAGCAAAACAATCAAGTTAAACACCCCACGGCAAGACCGATGGATTTGTAACACACTCCCAACACAGGTTCCAGCAAGCAACCCATACAGTCCGTACCATACCCGACAACTGGATGGATGTGCGAGAACAATTCGACAGCCATTTCTGATGCCAGAACATTGTCTCCAGTGTAGCCGACGCCACTTGCGATGGGGAGCACGTGAGTGGAGAAGAGGTCTCTTCATCAACGAGTCACGTTTCCTTCTTCACAGTTCTTGCTCGTGTCTTCTGAATCAGAAGTGAACTGACATCAGGCCATATGTTCAAAAAGGGTAGATGGGGTGTTAAAATCTGGGGTGGGGTAACAGCTGCACCAAGGACAGCAAACATTTCGACGTTTAGTGGCCTCAATAAGGTGAAGCTGCCTGGCCTGTATCAATGGACAAAGTTGACACACTCGCTACTGGCTGTGAACACGTTTGTGTACTCTGTGGCATGGCTTATTTTCATATGTCAGGTGCGCTGTTCATATTTACCCCTTGTCTTCCCATGTAAAATGTGAACCTGTCGTAATATTGCTGGAATATTGCTAAATGCAGCGTAAAACTAAATTCACTGACTCACTCATGTAAAACATTTCAAATGAAACACTGATTATATTTATTGCTGGTGTGCCACTTTTGCCTTTGAGTATACATTGATGATTTCACACAAATACACAAGTCAAAAAAGAAACTTCACAAAATGTAATTTGAAAAATAATGAATAATTTTTCTCTGATGATACATCTATGTATCCGAAATGGGATCCCTATCTTTCGACTCTCAGGTTTTGCACGTGCAGTCGATCACGTGATCTTCGCATCGAAGTTTTCTTCATATGCACGTGTTTGCATTGGCCTCAAGAATTGAAAAAACACTTTTAAACCACAGTTCTAACAGTACTTAAACTGCCAAGGTTGTCAAATGTGCAACGTGAACGTGACGTTGGCATGTTGCAAGTGGGAAGATCAGTTATTGACGTCGCAAGAGCAATGGGATGCAGCCGTCGTACTGTGTATGACTTGCGAGGTCGTCTACAACAAACTAGCACCCCTTCTGATCGCCCAAGGTCGGGTCGTCCACGCGTGACGTCACGAGCAGAAGACCGTCAAATCGTCCTACGTCACCTACGTGACAGATTTCTGCCGGCTACACGAACCAGGGCTGAGATGTTTAGAGGTCGACTGTCTTCACAGACCATTCGAAATCTCCATTCTCGACGTCCATATCGTGGGCCAATATTGACGCCGTTCATCAACGTCAACGTCTGCTGTGGGCCCAACGTCACCTCCGATGGACCTAGAGAGACTGGAATCGAGTCGTCTTTAGTGATGAATCCAGGTTCACCCTCAGATTCGCGGACGGCAGGCATAGAGTCTGGAGACGACGTCGCGAACGGTATGCCCAGTGTTGTGTACAGGAAGTCGACAGATTCGGGGGCGGAAGTTGCATGATGTGGGGTGCTTTCTGTGGGAACAACTGTTCCCGACTTTTGGTCATCTGTGGAAACCTGACAGCTGCTGCTTACCGCGACCAGGTGCTCACCCCTGAACTCGTTCCTTTCATGGCGGCTCATGGCCCAGGTCTACAGTTCCAGCATGATAATGCTCGGCCGCATACCGCCATGTTGACACGAAATTTCCTTCAAAACGCTGGAATCAACATCATGGACTGGCCATCGAGGTCCCCTGACCTTAATCCAATAGAGCACGTTTAGGATGCACTTGGGAGAAGGCTTCATGGTCTTAGGAACCAACCTCAGAATTTGCAGGAACTTGGCGCTGCCTTGCAAGAGCAATGGCGCAGAATCCCCAACCACGTGTTCACAAGCATCAGGCGATGAGGAGACGGTGTTTGGCAGTGGTGTATGCGCGGGGCGGCCATACACGATATTGAACTGAGAAATTTCGTATTTTTATTCTTGTGACTTTACATTCTGCATACCCATGTTTTGGAGCGGCGGTGTAGCCTAATGGAACTGATTATGGCACTGTCAGTGTATCGCGTACATCACACAGACCTCAGCAATGAAATAATAACAATTTAACCATCTTACCATCTCTTGTTCTTTTATAGTGCCCTGAAGAAAGAATGTGAAGTTTCTTTTTTGACTCAGTATACATTAATCAGACATTTTCGTTAATCCGACATATTTCTCTTCAACCAGGAGTGTCGGATTAACGAGCGTTGACTGTACTTTAGGTGAGATGATGCTCTTCATCCACAGGGGCGTTGGGGTAGCCTAGTGGTTAATGCATTCGCTCATCACGCCGAAGACCCGGGTTCGATTCCCCACATGGGCAAAATGTGTGAGGCCCATTTCTGGCGTCCCCCGCCGTGATGGTGCTGGAATATTGCTAAAAGTGGCGTAAAACCAAACTCACTCACTCACTCTTCATCCACAGCCTCGCTAAGAATGTCATTAAGGCACCATGATAGGTTGGCTAATGACAAAGTTTCAAGTTTGCTCCGATAGGTGAAGGCAAGTGAATTGGCTGGACATCCATATCAGACTCCATATAGACTTGTCTTTCCTGCCCATGCACAAGCTGGACCTGGCTTGTTCAGACATAGACTGTCCATATAGATCATGCAACCCTCATCCCCCCATCCAGTGCCTGACTGGTGCTCTGGCTGTCCAGATGATAGCTTGACTGCAGATCCTATATCACTGGTGAGCATTTGCTTGTGACTGTAGCACTAAAACTGCTCCTATTTGTTCAACTTCAAACCCTGAAATCCTAGATGAAGTGACCCCGAATTGTGTAGTGCCATTTACGAAGGCATAACAGTAGCTGCTGGGCCTTTGGTTTCCGTGATGTGCAATAATCACGATTTCAGTTTTCCATTCCCTGCAAGCCCATGTTGACATTGTGCACTGCTCATTGTGCCCACATATAATGCTAAAATGTTTAACAAAGTCAACACTTTCTTTGATCTGTGACAAATGCCTGCCCACCATGGCCATCGTATGGTACACACCCGAGACTGTTAAAGGGCCACTGATCCAGAGCAATTTCCGTGGACTGGTAGTTGCTTTTGTTATTGTTTTCTCCCGTGAGTTACACTGTTGGTGAGAAACATTAATTGCTCTGGATCAGTGGCCCTTTTAGGCCACAAAAGGGCAACATCAGAGGATAAGACATTGAATTTTGTGTTTTGTTTTGTTGTTGTTTAATGCCACACTTAGCAATATTCCAGTTAGATGGCGGCCATGTTATTACAGTATGACTGATTTTATAGTTATTTCTTTAATATCTATTTTCAGACAAAAACATAGATCTGTTAAAAAGGAAAAAACCCGCTTATACTAATACAACCTGAACAAAAGAATGATGAGCTTCGCTACAAAATACAATTTGCAAAACAGTATAAAACACCAATAGACATAGACTGATAGCTTTTGTCAAGTGTTCTCTTCTGTCAGCTTCAATCATGATTGGAACTGCCTCTAGTTTTACTTCGGTCATTTTGTGTCCATGAATGGATTTGTGCTGATGTATATCTGGCTTCCTGTTTAAGGCTCTAGAGTAAACAAAATACTTTGACTTGTTGTCGCTTTGTGTTTTCCTTCAAGGAATGAATGAGGATGTAAATATATACGATGAAGAGGGATTTGACTGGGGCTATTTGGTGATCTGTAGTATACACATAAACAGCTTGTTAACATAAACATCATAAGAATTGAACGTTATTGTTTGTTAAGAACTTAAGATCTTGCGTAAATGGTATCTATGCAGTTTATGAGTTATTGTCCTGAATACACTGGGTGCAGTCTGCTTATAACCATTGGTTGCACAAGCTAATTTGAGCTCAAACCAGAGCAGCTTTGTCAACAGGTAGTCAGTATCTAAAGTTGACCACATATTTCAGCAGAAGTCTTAATATGAAACAGATAATTCGGTTTCTCTGGTCTGGAATGAGACAAGCAAGGCAAGGTAAATGTTTTCCCACATTCACCTCATAGAAAAGGCTTCACACCACTATGATTTCGCATGTGCCTTTTTCGCCCACATTTCTGACACATACGTGGTTTGACCCCATTGTGAATTCTCGGATGGGCCTGTTGGACACACGAGTGTGTAAATGTTTCCTCACACTCACTACACTGACATGGTTTGCTTCTACTTTGACTCCTAACGTCTCACTTCAGTCTACATGATTGTGTGAACGCTTTCCCCTGTTCAGCATACTAATATGGCTTGATACCACAGTGGCACCTCATGTGTCTCTGCAAATTCAACAAGAGTGTATATTCTTTCACACCTTCGCCACACTGAATTCTTCACTCCACTGTAACCTTTCTACTATGACTACTACTTTATACTGTGGGTCAATCGTCAGGTTACACAATTGTGAATTGTGTTCCACATTCAGCGCACTCATACAGCTTGATTTCACAGAGAATCCTTGAATGAACGGGCAGGTTACTTGAATGTGTAAATGTTTTCTTACAATCACCACACTGATAGGCTTGATTCCAGTGTGAACCCTCATGTGTGTCTGGAGATGACTTAGACGTATACAGCTTTTATCACACACACTTCATTGCACTCTGACTGGTCATGTGTGACTTCAACTGACTTGCTTGTGGAAACTTCTTCCCACATTTAGTACATTTATAAGGCTTCTCACCACTGTGAATCCTCAAATGACTGTTCAGGTCAAATTCAAATGAACGAGGAAACGTTTTCCCACATTCACCACACTTATGACGATGCCTTAATGGAACCTCCACTGTGACCTTTCAAATATGAATATTCATGTGTTTCTGCAAGGTAGACAACTGCATAAATTCTTTCCCACATTCCCCACACTTGAAATGCTTGACTTTACTGTGAGTATTTAAATGGGCCTTCAGTGCATCCTTTAGTAGAAATGTTTTCCCACACTCACCACACTCATAAGGCTTGATTCCACTGTGAATCAACATGTGTCTCGTCAGGTTACTTGATTTTGTGAATTGTTTTCCACATTTAGCGCACCCATAAGGCTTGATTCCACTGTGAACCTTCTTGTGTGTCTGGAGATCACATAGACGTTTATACCTTTTATCACACACACTGCATTCATAAGGCTTGATTGTACTGTGACTGCTCATGTGTGACTTCAAGTGACATGATTGTGAAAACGTTTTCCCACATTTAGTACACTTATAAGGTTTCTCTCCACTGTGAATCCTCAAATGGGTGTTCAGGTGACATAAACGTTGAAACACTTTCCCACATTCTCCACACTTGTGACGATGCCTTGATGGAACCTCACAGACTTTACTGTTCTCAGCATCATCTGTTACCAGCATCAGTGTTCTCTCACAGTCAATGTTTCCACCTACATCAGTAACAGAATGTTTCTTGAGACCACCTGAATCAGTAACAGGTTCTTGCTTCAGGTCCCCTATGTCCAGTAATTCTCTCTCACAGTCAGTGTTGCCACCTGTGTCAGTAACAGGTTCTTGTTGGACATCACATGTTTCAAATAATGCTCTCTCACATTCAGTATTTGCACCTATATTAGTAACAGGTTCTTGTTTGAGATCAACTGTTTCCAGTGATGCTCTCTCACAGTCAGTGATTTCACCTGCATCAGTAACAGGCTCTTTTTGGACATCACTTGTTTCTAGTAATGCTCTGTCACAGTCTCTCAAATTTTTTTCAGTGACAGAGCCATGATTCTGTTGTTGGCTTTGCTGTTGTTTCTGCAAGGTAGATGATTGCGGAAATTGTTTCCCACATTCACGTGTGAAATGCTCGATTTCACTGTGAGTATTTAAATGATCCTGTAGTACATGATTTAGTACAAATGTTTTCCCACACTTATCACACTGATAAGGCTTGATTCCACTGTGAATTCTCAAATGAACTTCGAGGGCATTTGAATCTGTGAACTTTCTCTCATGCTCACCACACTGATAAGGCTTGACTCCATTATGTGTCCGCATGTGCCTCCTCAGGTTCCATGATTGTGTGAATCGTTTCCCACATTCAGTACATTCATAAGGCTTGATTCCAATATGTGTCAACATGTGTCTCATTAGGGTCTCTGAGAATGGAAACTGTTTCCCACACTTGCCACACTGATAAGGCTTGACTCTACTGTGAATTCTCAAATGAACTTTGAGGGAATGTGGGTATGTAAACGTTTTCCCACACTTATCACACTGATAAGGCTCCATTCCACTGTGAATTCTCAAATGAACTTTGAGGGCATGTTGGTATGTATACGATTTCCCACACTCACCACACTTATAAGGCTTGATTCCAGAGTGTGTCAACATGTGTGTCCGGAGATGTTCTGGACGTTTATACTTTTTATCACACACAGTGCATTCATAAGGCCTCATTGCAGTGTGAGTGGTCATGTGTGACTTCAAGGTCCATGATTGTGTAAACTCCTTCCCACATTTAGTACATTTATGAGGCTTCTCTCCACTGTGAATCCTCAAATGAGTGTTCAGGGTACTTGAACGTCGAAACACTTTCCCACATTCTCCACACTTATGACGATGCCTTGATGGAACCTCACAGACTTTGCTTTTCTTAGCATCATCTGTTACCAGCATCAGTGTTCTCTCACAGTCAGTGTTGCCACCTGTGTCAGTAACAGAATGTTTCTTGAGACCACCTGAGTCAGTAACAGGCTCTTGTTTCAGGTCATCTATGTCCAGTAATTCTCTCTCACAGTCAGTGTTGCCACCTGTGTCAGTAACAGAATGTTTCTTGAGACCACCTGTGTCAGTAACAGGCTCTTTTTGGACTTCACTTGTTTCTAGAAATGCTCTCTCACAGTCTCTCAAATGTGTTTCATTGACAGAGCCTTGGCCGTCCATCATCAGATTGTGGATGATATGCTGTTCACTGAAAACATAGGAGTCACCATTTTCTTTATCATGTTCATGAAGTGAGTGAGTTAGTGAGTTTAGTTTCATGCCACAATATCACGGCAGGGGACACCAGAAATGGGCTTTACACATTGTATCCATCAGGGAATTAGAAACACAGGTCTTTGGCCTGACGAGCGAATGCTTTAACCACTCGGTTACACTGCCACCCATCCCATCAAGGAAAATACACACCAGTATCGGTGGAGCATGAGTTCTTACTTCCCCCAAAAAGCATGATCAACCGAATAAATATTATCATTTACTATAAATGTTTGCTTTAATAAGAAATGCATCAAACAAAAAGCAATTAAAGTGAATGTTTTTTTTAATTTTCATCAATTTTACAGAACAATTTCATTTGTTTAGAGGCTTGATAGTATCCGATCACAACTAGGGTGCAATATACATGAAATCATACATGAAATCAATATGTATTGCTGATCGAAAACCAGTATTTCAGCATGCATTTGGAAAACTTTGTAACACTCGAAAATCTTCAAATATTTCCGTTTTTTACACTGGAAATGAAGTTCGGTTTGGAAGTCTTTTTTTGTTCAAGTGTTTCGCAATGTTTTGGATTGAATTTTTAAAATATTTACTTGTTAATGACCAGTGATCTCTCATATGTGCTGACCAGGCCAAGTGGCTGTCTTAAATCTCAGGGCCTTTTGTGAGTGGAGAAACTAGTTCAAATAAGTAACCACTGTTGATGATAAATTGTTCTTTTCCTTGTTCCATTTGTTCTAAATAATATTTATTTTGTCATGATTAAAAGCTTTTACTAAAACTTAATCAAGCACAGTGATTTTGATGTTTTTGCTTTATAAATCAGGCATTAACTCGATTATGAGTAGTTTTTTGTTAAAAAAAACCCCTTGCAATATATTGCAATAAATATCGCAATATATGCTTTCACATCGCAATATGAAAATTCTCTGCAATACCCGACTCTATTCACAACAAGACTTTCTTTGTCATATTTCAGGATGGAGGACAATGGCAAGATGTTCAGGGTTAAACACCTTGCCAATTGTAAATTGTCAGTGTGACAGGTATTTGGCTATCTTGCCTGTATATAAGATGGCTTACACACCACTGAAAAGATAAAGAACAAGCATTGTCACTAAGGAGACATAATCCCCAGCCGAAAAATTATCAAATCAAACTCAAAAAGTAATGAAAGTGAAGTTTAAGATGACGTTAAATGTCAACAAAAAATTGTCCAGTCAACCTCTCTTGATATCTTACTCTGTAGCTGTTCAAACTCACAAATATTTTTAAGACTCACTTTGACATAAATGTCTTAGTGTATGAAATATGCAAAAAAAGCAATAAAGAAAATGCTTATTGAAAAACATTCAAGGGAAGTCTTGAAAGTCTATGTCTAAGAAAATCCAGTGAATGGTTCTTGAGATATCTTGCTGACAATCTTTAACATGCAGGTTAACATGCTGAAATCTTCAAAGTGTCGCCGTGACCTTGAAGATTAAGTGAAGGTCACCAAAACTGACTGGGCCCTGCACCATCCCTAGTTAAAGCTTGGTGTTTAATATGAAGAAACTCCAGTGAATGGCTCTTGAGATATCTCTCTGACAAGGGTAAAACATTAAAGTTCCCCATCGATCTACGCAATTGGGATGCGATAACATGTGCCAACCAAGTCAGCAAGCCTGACCACCCAATCCTGTTAGACGTCCTTTTACGACAGTAGCATGGGCTTCTGAAGACCAATTCTAATCAGGATCTTTAAGGCTGTGCACCCTTTGTTCCCATGCTTGTTCAGGTGATCAATGGACTGGACTTTGCATGTTTATGATGGCTGCCATCAGTGAGTTAAGATATTTTCACCGATTGATGAAAACTTGTTATCATCACTATGATGATTCATAAACAAATACTCATAATATAGTCAAATTTACTTTTGGAAAGTGAATAAGTCACACTGAAGTAGCATCAGTAATTACTCTGAAAAAAAGAGAGCTTTCTTTGATTTTACAAAAATAGGAGCAATAATGATTTTGGGTTGATTTATAATACACTGAGGGAATCGTATCAGCACACATTAAACTTAATCATCACAATCGTTACAGTGTGATATTTGACAGGATATATGTACAGAAGTAAGACATGAAACTACAAGAATTCAAAGTATGATCTATAGCCTCCGAGAAAGTCTGCTCAAATTGTCTTCTTGCAAAGTTTGGTTCCAACCTGGAATGTGTGGTTCACTTCATGCACCCTACTCTTATTTCGGGCAGTTGGTGAGTTTCGTTTTACTTCGCTTTTAGAAACATTCCAGCAATATAACGGCAGGGGACACAGAAACTGGCTTTACACATTGTACCCATGTGGGGTAAGAGAACCCTGGTATTCAGCGTGACGGGTGAACGCTTTAACCATTAGGCACCTTCAAGTAAATCACTTATGCGAAATCAACTTAATAGTTGGAAGCAGACATAAACATCAACACAACAACCAAACACAATATCTGTATCAAATGGTGTATCATCTGACTATCATTCCACTATAGTGCCTTATTCAAAATTCAAAAGACAAGGTTTGACAAGAGGGTATACTTGGACCATGGATATCTGAAACATATTTCACTCACCAAAAGTGATTATGGATTCATAAACAAGCTTATGTGAATAATGTTCAATTACCTTTATACATAAATGCAACAAATATCAGATACTAAACAACATAATAAGAGAGCAAGCAATCTGTGAATATTACATCTGATTTACCCATCAAATGTGCGATTTAATTTTTCCATCTTATGGTGACGTGATGAAGAAAGAATGCAATGTGTCTTCATAGGAATGGTGGCAGGGGTAGGATGGAGTAGAAGAAGTATGCCGTTCAAACATGTATGCATTCAAATCACTACACTCAAGTCAGATATGATGACATGCAACGACCAACTCAGCGAACCTGACTACTTTATCCTGTTAGTCACATCTTACATCCATGTGTTGCTGAAGACCAAACATAAATTTATATATTGGGTAATCACAAGATAATGCCTGCTCTCTCTCTCTCGTTCTTCAGATGTCATTTCACACCTTATAGTAAGGTCTGTGACGTATTTATGCATAGAAACAATCATCTATACAATCACATTCAAAGCCTGAAATATATACGTATACACCCTGTAAACATAGAGTTGCTTTACATAGCACAATACCATACAAACCTGTCGTAGTTTGCATCCAGTTTGCCTTAGATGTCTGATGTTTAACGCACTGGGAAGCAAGGTAAGTACACATTCTTATCTTCACAAACATATATCATGAACACATGTATTTTCAAAACTAGTACACTTCATTTTTTATCACAACTGAACATCCATGGCAAATGTGATCTATCTTCATCTTTCAAGACATTTCTGACGATGTCTGGATCTTGCGGTTCAGTGAGGCATTCAATTTTTTCAGGATCATTTCTCAAACATTTGTTTCATTTTAATGATATGTAAACACAATACAAAATATTATTTTTTTCTATTTTCTTATTAACAATTTTATGTATACCTATATTAGTATTTATAAAAGCAATATTATTGACAAGGTTCAAAAGGGGAATTCCAGAAAATATATTAATAGAAACTTCAGTAAAGGGCCACAAAGTGTATCGTTTTCAAGGTAGCACAGGACTGGTCAAAGAAGCCTCAAACTGCAACAAACAATTTCCATTTCATATAACATAATAGCCAAATATTTCCATACACCTCTTTCGATTCAAACTAGACAACTTGTCTGTTACTCGGCCTCAATGCAAACTGTTTTGAAGCGCAATGTTGACATGAACGTATCTATCCACCAAAATAAGGTAACAGTACCTTCATAATGTATCATAATGTATCATAATGCATCTGAACCTGGTGTTTTATTGGACTACTAAATATTAATAAATGGTTGAAAATCAATGCAATACATGCTATTCCTGATCAGATATGAGGCGCTCCACATCATTATTTAAGCACATGTTGAACATGTATTCGTCTCGTGCAACTCGTGGTGATACTTTATTTATACCCATGCAAAGTAATACCGGGCATATCATTTCCGGTTCGTCGAATTCTTAATTATTAATTAAAGCCGTTATTATGTACACATCCAAAAATTTCAGTGTTACGTGCGATCTTCATATTTTATTACCACTGTATTTATCAAATGCCTTTATCTTCAAGATTGTCTCCATGCAAGGTTTGACTCGACCCGACATCGAGAAAATAATCTAAAAATACACTTAAGTTAAGCTACATGATGATAAAGTGACTTTTTCGGAAGTTATAAAAATTATTACTTTTTGTCGTGCAATTACAATTAATGTAGTCAATAAGAATTATTCCGCCTGCAATATGTGGAGCCGACGTGAATGACCAATCAGCCCAAACGGTAGCCATCACAGCCGAGCCAGGAGAGGCATCGAATGAGCGCTGTGCATTTGGATCCTACTAATAGTCCAGTCAAATTGTGACAAAACCTCCAAATAATTGGTACAGAAATGATCTGAGTATTTTCAACATGTTAAAGTTATAACTAATGAGTACTAAAAAGTCCTCCCTTGAAATATGATGCTAAGTCCTATTTTTGGGGCTAAAAATTTGAAAAATTGAAATTTTCAGTGAATTATTTTTAAAATATCACATAGATACAAATTCACCTTTTTATATATTTTTTCAAAGAGAACACAAGGTACTACTAATAAATGGATTAGAAAAGTCAAATAATGTTAAGCAAAGTCCTATTTTGGGGTAAAAAGTTAAAAAGTTGAAATTTTCAAAGAATATCATTTTAAATTTCACATTGGGACACAAATGTACTTTTATGGATATTTTCAAAGAGAACACAAGGTACTACTAATACATGGGTGAGAAAAGTCAAATAAATTTATGCTAAATCCTATTATGGGGTAAAAAATTGAAAAGTTCAACTTTTCAGAGAATAAGTTTTATAGTCTCATACTGAG